CGGATACAGCATCGAGATTGGCAGTCACGGGTGGTTGGAGTGTGGATCATCTTCAAATAAAAGGAGGGAACCCTGAGTAGAGGTAACCACCGGAGCACCGTGGTGAGAGAGCGTGCCCTCAACTATCTTCTGGTTAATCCTCCATGTAGCTTGGCGCGTGGAAGATCCTAATCGGTAGTCATGAAGAAAGAGGCTCAGAAATAGGTTTTGAAGAAATGGAATTCTTAGCTAAAGAACAACTAAGCAAACGAGACTGGGCAGTGTGTCGGATAGCAGCAAGCTTGTGTGCTGAGTTGCAAGACATTTTAGAAAGCTTAAATAATTACCAGAATGTTTTTCACAACGATACACGTAAAGCTTCTCAAAGTTCATTTGCCAAACCTAACATTAACGTTTCCATCAGAAATTTCGAAAAATTCATCGAACCACCCTCTCTTCCTCTCCAGTACAGCACGACACCTCCTGAAAACCTCAGTACGACTTTTTCGTTTCGCACACACAAAAACCTGAACATGTCTTTGTCCCAAGAGCGGTACACTCAGTCTCTGAAAGCCCCTTCATCTAACCATCGACCCAGGTCGCGCAAGTTGCAATTTCGTAACCGTGCGGTCCGTCTTGATCTGTAGCCAAATGGGGATGGCCACGCAAAAGAAAAGGTTAGGGGAACAGGACAAGAGAAATAGTATGATTAGGGAGAAGTTACTGTGGAATGTAGTGGTTCTTGATTACAGCAAGTCCCAGAGACAACACTAGGGTGACTTTACGCGAGGAAGAATCATGGGAAACTGGAGAAGGAAGATAGTTACCAGTTTCAAATGACCAGAAATTGTGCAATTGCAGAAATTGACGTGGCATTAACGTGGCATCGATTCAAGAACATCTTTGAGCACACGTGATGTCACCTTTTCATCGAGAATTTAGCCACGTGTGCCAATGCCACGTCAATTTCTGCAATTGCACAATTTCTGGTCATTTGAAGGCGAGGGTACACTTCCAAGTCTATCTGAGGAACATTAAGCATAATCAATCGTTATTGTCACTGATCTATGATATTTCGGCTCCTAATTGGTTATCCCGCTGCAGGTGGGACCTTCCAAAACGGCTAACCGTATAGATGCGTATTCTTTGCCATACCAATATATTGGGTTGTCCAGAAAATCCTGCGACACTTTGAACAAAGTTCTTTAGGAAAAATCAAAACTCTTTCCAGTAGTTTTGGCATTTGATTGCTGCAGTGTATCTTCGGAGGTTTCGGCAGAAGCGTAAATGGAGGCTTCGTGCAGCGTTTAACTGCTTCAAACTTCTCTCTGAATCAACCCATCTTTTGACCTATTTTATTTTCGAG